GAGTCCGCGAGCCGCTGGGGGCACGTATAACGATCAGGGCTGTCTCGAGGCCTGGACTCATTGATGGCTCACCGATGAATCACCGAGATTACATGTAAGTCGGCTCAGGGTCGTGCCTCGAGGCGACTAGCAATTCCTGGACTCAAAGAAGGCCGCTCGCGGACTCAGTCCGCGAGTGGCATACCCGATCCTCTGACTCGGTAGGGTGGCCTCGAGGCAACCGCGCTTCACCAGCACGCCGCTAGCACCTCGCGGACTGAGTCCGCGAGCCGCTGGGGGCACGTATAACGATCAGGGCTGTCTCGAGGCATGACTCACTCAGTGAGTCATCAGTGAGCGAGTGTCAATGGCCATGGGACAACCCGGTAATATGCCTCGCGGATAGAGTCCGTGAGTATGCCGGGTTTCATCTTGCTAGCCGCCTCGAGGCGATCGTGGACTTGCGTCAGCGAGTCGGTGAGCAGACTCGTCAACTCTGCGGAGTCGCTCGCGCATCTTTGTAGCAACTGATGTCTGGGATAAGCAGCTTTGGTAGCGTACTGCACACAGTCCGCGAGCATGCTGAGATGCATTTCAAGTGAAATGGAGCGTATTACACCAATGTGTGCTACATGACATGGTCCCAACCTCTCCGAGCTTACACCGACCATCGTTGTATATAGCAGCGCCAGCGACATCCCATAGCTACAATGTCTGACCATTGGGATTTTGAGAATCTCCCGAGGACGCGAGCTGGAAGTATCCAGACGCACCTCACGATTGTTCCCAGCGCCGCGGTCTCCAGCCCCCCGCTCCAACGTAGGTCGCAGGATTTACCCTATAGATATTCCCAAATACTGACCAAAAGTACATAGCAGCCATGCCAAGTGAAGCTCCTCCATCCTTGCCCGTCCTTGCTCCCTCCCGGGAGCCATCTCCCCATGGACCAACGGTCAATCCGGCATCACGCCCTGCATCACGCCCTGCATCACGCCCTGCCTCTGCGACCTCTTCCCGCACTTCCTCTCGTGCACCCGCGAATCCAGCTGCCACAGTCCGTGAGTATTATTGACGTCCTCAATGTAGTTTGGAAAGTCTCACAATCGTGTATTTAGATGTCCAGGCTATGCACCAGATCATGGCACGCGACAGTGGTACAAGGCCCTCCTCTCCGTTGCCGAGGAGAGTTGAGATCCCCATCGCTCCCGTCCATGTGGATGCTCGGCGGCTGTTTCACGGTGCTGAGATAGCAAGGGCCCGCGAGGTCTTGCAGGCGTACATGGCGGTTTACGAGGACGTGCAGTCCTGGCCCCAAGATGCTGAGGTCGAGCTGACAGAGGCCCAGCGTGACATCTGGGAGAGGGAGCTGGAGGCCTTGAATACATCTATGGGGCTGTGGACGAAGTATATTGAGCTGGAGCTTGCAGATGCCAGCGCAACCAATGGTGCTGGCTACGTTGCGATTGACGTACCCACCACATTCACACCCCTGCAACAAGCGACCATCCGGTCCCTCCGAGGCTATTTTCAGGAGCGGATGCAAGCCATCCACAACTCCTTGGGCAACTGGCGGCGGATACTGAGGGGATTGCGCAGGCGGACCGAACAGGACACAGACAACACCAATTCGGAGGAGGAGAACGGATTGGCCCTTCGTATGGCACGGGCGGAGGTGCATCGTCTGGAAGAGATGAGATTTCTCTTGCGGGGACTTCGTGGTGTGTGTGACGCCCTTCTCCTTCCACCAGATGAACAAGCCGCCAACTCTGATGAGGAGATGGACCTGTGGTAATTAGCTCAGCATCTGTACAATTCTGCTTAGACTACACATGCAATCCACTGTTCTGCTTTGATGGCTCCATAAATTGTCCGAGGACTCCAGGTTGTTGCAGAGGCAGCCCAAGCTCGCGGACTGAGTCCGCGAGCCTGGCTGCGTCCTCACTGAACGCGCAGCGGACGTAGGCAATGTGTAACGAGCATCAGCTTCAATCCACGCAGTTGGCTCGTGACTCCCGGAATAAGTCCGTGAGACGTCATCGCGCATGCTATGTGATATCCGGACCTCAGCCACAGGGCTCGCGGACTATGTCCGCGAGTGACCTCACGCATCATGCGTCTGTGATTGGTGCATTGAGAGCTTGGCATTTATTGGTGCGTCTGTTTGCTGTGAGCGGGCTCGCGGACTCAGTCCGCGAGGTGACCATATGCAGGCAGCACTTATCCGCTTCGAGGTCATAATCTTATATTAAGGGCTATTGAGGGTTTTGCTATCAGTCACTAGCACCCCGAATGCGTCCAGGGAGCTCATCTTGGCAGATGAAGGCTGTCCAGTACGTAACCGCGCAGGCTTCCTCTAACGCATTGCAGCCTCGCGGTCATGACAGGAGTGACGCGTATGCCTCATGTCTGGTGGAAGCTCTCAGACTGACTCCACAGGCAGTGCATGTGTGCTACACCATTGCATCTGATTGGTCTGCCTCCACAGGACCCTGATCTTCTTGTGGATTGGACCTTGAGAAGGCCTAGTGGTCAGAATGTACATATACAGGTGCATGGTGGGTACCCCTTCGACCTATTGCTCACAATGCCTAAGGCATCCAAGGGAAAAGGAAAGCGCGTCAGGAGTCCCTCGCTCGGCGACATGGATGTCATCAGCGGTACCGACGGAGAGGACAACTCTGGGGATGAGGGTGACAGCCGTGAGGGGCGCAGCGAGACCCCAGTGCTCCTACCAGTGAGTGGCCTATGTCCATCTACTTATCTTCTGATCTCATGAATATTGCAGCCACGCAAGCTAGCCACAGCAGCTTCGTCGTCTCGGATCGCAAATACCTCTGGTGAGTGCACATCCAAATCTGTGATATAAATTCTGTGACATTTCCCTCCTCAGCAAATGAGCGGATGGGCTCCGTGATCTCGATTCATTCGAGTGCGGGGACACCTCCTCCCATCACTCCATCATCCTCGCGGCAGAAGCGTCGCATTGTCTCGCCCGCGCCATCGTCTACCTCGAGCTCTGCCAGCACATCTGGTGCTCCCTCTCGCCACATCCTGGCCCTCATGCAGAGGGAGATGGAGCGCTACGAGGACATGTACGAGCACTTCAACAGCCTCCAGAACCAGCTCGCCCAGAAGATCGCTGTAAGGGAGGCGGAGAATGAGGAGCAGGGTGTGACAAGGGATGAGTACTTGACCATCTGCCGTGAAGAGTACTCTCGTGCGCGTAGCCGCATGACCACGTACCTTGAGTTCATGTCAAGCTATCGTCGCGGGCTTGACGAGCAGGAGGCAAAGCGCCCTCGTCGTGATCCTGAGTCCTCGAAGTAGTTGCTCTGTATGTCCTTTGTATTAACATGTCTGCTGGCATCTCTCATGCCACAATGATATGAATGTCCTTGTGTCTAATGCATGACTACTGACATAAGCCTTTCTTGTGGACTTGATATATGGTTTGTATGACTGCTCGTCATAGATCTTCCTGGTCAAGCTCGCAGACTCTGTCCGCGAGGACGCTGCCTGTGCCAACGTCTCGCGGACACAGTCCGCGAGACGTGATTGATTTATCCTAAGCACCAATCAGAGGGCTTACTGGGATAAACTCAAAGGCCAAATGTTTCACGCTCCCCATCTATATTAACTTCTACAGCCTCTGATCTTGCCACAACCCGTCACCCGTAACATACATTTCCCTATGCTTTGATGCCACAGCTGCAATGGCTCTCTAGTAACATAGTTTGTATAGACACTCGGAGGACATGGGCTGTACTAGCAGAGGGCAACCTCGCAGACTCAGTCCGCGAGGCTGGCAGGGCAGCTACCTGCAGCGTTCGCAGACTCAGTCTGCGAGGCTGACAGGACAGCTACCTGCAGGGCTCGCAGACTCAGTCCGCGAGGCTGGCAGGGCAGCTACCTGCAGCGTTCGCAGACTCAGTCTGCGAGACTGGCAGGACAGCTACCTGCAGTGCTCGCAGACTCAGTCCGCGAGGTGCAGCTCTCCCAGACTCAGTCTGCGAGACTGGCAGGACAGCTACCTGCAGTGCTCGCAGACTCAGTCCGCGAGGCTCAGGACAGCTACCTGCAGTGCTCGCAGACTCAGTCCGCGAGGTGCAGCTCTCCCAGACTCAGTCTGCGAGACTGGCAGGA